TCCCTCCCTCCCCCCGACACCTCATTCCTCTTCACTATCGAAACAAAATACAGAGAAACCGATTTCCGAAGCGAAAGCGCAGAAGGATAAAGGTGTTTTACTACAGACCTCTCAGTCTGGCGCTGATCAAAAAGCCCAACTCATCTTCGGAAAGAAAAAGACTGGCAAATGCCACGGGTTTGGCTGTGATGCTTAATTTCGGGTAAATCTCTTAGAAATAATTATTTTATATATATATATATATATAAATTATTTTTTTTTTTCCCTTGGGAGAAGAAGGGGGGGAGGTCAGGCTTGTGACCCGACCGTTTTACGGTGTTGGGAAGTTCTTGAAAAGGAAGAAAAAAAAAAAAGCTGCAACAAATAAAGCCTGTTCTTCACATCGGTGCGGGGCTCCGCGGGCGCGGAGGGAGCCCCATCTCCTCGGGGAGGGTGAGGAAGGCCCTGCCCCGGCCCCGCTGGGTGACATTGCCGGTGCTTGGGGAAGGGAGGAACGCTTGGACTGCTCAATTCGATACAAATTAGGTCACAAATATTGTGTACAGTTTGTAGTAAAACACCTCAGACATTTAAAAACGCTATATAAGTCTTTAAAAATGCAAAACTAGTCTATTGTAAAACAGATTCACCTGAAATACAGCTGATATAACCAAGGCGCTGGAAGGTTATTCATAGGCACACATCTGTCTTTCCTTTTTTCCTTTTCTGTCGGGTTTTCCGTTCTTTTTTTTTTTTTTAAATTTTCTATTTTTCCGTGGGTTTTCCCTTTTTTTTTTTTCCTGTTTTTTTTTTCTTTTTTCTTCCTTTTTGTTTAGATTTTGTTTTGCGGTGGGGTCGGTTGTTTTTTGTTTTTTTTTTTTAATATATTTTTCGCGTCTTTTTTCGGTCTTGGTTTTTTTTTTTGTTTGTTTTTTTTTTTTTCCTTCGTCTTAGCGGAGACCGAAAAACAAACCTTGTCTGCGAGTAAACACCGTGTGTGATCAGCGGAGAGAGAGAAAAAAAAAAAAATAAAAAAATAAAAAAGAAATAATAATATTGCCGAGGCGGCGGCGGGCGGGCACCCCTCGCCGCAGCATCTCCCGAAACCATAAGTTAAAGAAAGCCCGGCGGGCAGTCCCGCGGCCGGGCAGTCCCGTGGCCGGAGCCCGCGGTCAGAGGTCGTGGCAGGCCGTGTCCGTTTTCACGCCGTGCGAGTACACGTCGTGCTGAGGCTGCTCGCCCGGAGGGGTCATCCGCTTCTCCTTCTGCCGCCGGTTGCAGAACCAGACCCGCACCACCTCCTTCTCCAGCTGCAGGCTGTCCGCCAGCGAGGAGATCTCCTGGGCGGCCGGCTTGGGGCACTTGAGGAAGTGCGTCTCCAGCACGCCCTTGACACTCACCTCGATGGAGGTCCGCTTCTTCCTCTTCCTCCCCTGCGCCGCGATCTTGTCGATGCTCGTGGGGCTGCCGGTGGAGGAGTCGGCCTCCTCCAGCCACTTGTTCAGCAGCGGCTTCAGCTTGCACATGTTCTTGAAGCTGAGCTGCAGGGCCTCGAAGCGGCAGATGGTGGTCTGCGAGAAGACGTTCCCGTACAGGGTGCCCAGCGCCAGCCCCACGTCGGCCTGGGTGAAGCCCAGCTTGATGCGGCGCTGCTTGAACTGCTTGGCGAACTGCTCCAGCTCGTCCGAGGTCGGCGTCTCCTCGTCCGAGTGGCCCTGGCAGTGGTGGCCGCCCAGCTCGCCGTGCTCGCCGCCGGCCTCGCCG